CAAGCCCGTAAATCGTATCGGTCGGATAGATGATCACCCCCCCATTCTTCAGCACATTAACCGCTGTCTGGATATTTCTTGGTTGCGGGTTGTCGGGATGTATATGGATAAGCATGGTGTTGATATTGGGAGGTGAAGAAAGGTCAGATAGCGGGATCGAGTTTGTGAACCGCGTGAAGCGCGTTCTTTAACCGTTGTTCATGCGGCCCCCGAATGTCTATCCAAGGTACGCCACTATTGATAACTATATCACGATACTGGCTATAAAAATAATGCCGCTCCTGTGGCAGTCCATGTTCCCGGAGCGGATCCGCTTCCCAGTTAATATCAATATAAGTGAGGAGGTATAGATCATAAGGCCTGGTGGCAATGTTTTCCAGGATCGTCCGGTGGCATCTTCCATACCGGGATTCTGCCCATACTTTCAATACATACAAGTCTGTATCACAAACCAGGTAGCGGTTGGCTTTTTTCAAGGCTTCCTCTTCATCCCTTAACTGGCCCATTGCTATCCGGAGCAGATCATCTTCTGTATAGTCACGGTTCAGGTCCAGCAGGTATTGCCGGGCGTGCTCTGGTATCCATAGGGTATTTAAGGCCCTGGCAAGGCCCTCACAAAGAGTACTTTTACCGGTAGACTCCGGTCCGATAACAACAATTTTCTGCAATGAATAGATCGCTTTGGCTCAAAATTAGTAAAGCCAGCGGTATGGTTTTAATGAACCTACCATACATTGCTAAAAATGGAAAATATGCTTCGTCAACTTTTACTAACAGCCCTCATGGCCGGTTCTTTTACAGTCAGTGCGCAGCTTAGTACGCGCACCGTTAAAGATGGCTTGTTTATCCCCTGGGAAATTGTTTATGGTCCTGATGATCATATCTGGTTTACACAGAAAAATGGTTTTATCTGCCGGGTAGATCCTGTCAACGGCGCTACCGATACCTTGTACCGCGAAACAGCTACGGTGATCCGTGGAGAAGGAGGCATGACCGGTATGGTGCTGCACCCTGATTTTGCTACCCAACCTTATGTATATGTTGCACATAATTACCTGGACGGAAGTAGCTATAAAGTACGGGTGATGCGCTATACCTATAACGGCCGCGATGCATTAGGGAGTCCGCAACTGGTATTGGGTGGTATTAACGGATCTAATAATCATAATGGCACGCGGCTGGTGATTGCTGGCGATAAGTTGTTCATCACAACAGGTGATGCCGAAACACCTGCCATCGCCCAGGATATAAATAGTGTGAACGGAAAGGTGCTTCGACTTAACCTCGATGGAACCATTCCCACTGATAATCCTATTGCCGGGAATCCGGTATGGAGTTGGGGGCACCGGAATGCACAAGGATTGGTAATGGCCAATGGG